AATAAGCCAAAGGGGAAAACTAATTAAACACAAAATATTTACATTATTATTTTTAAGATAGTTTAAATTATGTGCCGTTGTTTAGCTTCAGTGCAGTCTGAGAGCCTTTTTCACCATTTTCTCTCCTCCATTGCCATGTGTGTCAGCACAGAAGATACCATTACTCAAATTGATGACTGCCTACTCTAAAACCAAAGATGGATTAACAATGACAATCCCAAATGTCTTTTAGTACCCGTGTTAAAAAGATCTTGTGTCTGAATGTTCTTTAAGCTCTAGAATAACCTCAAAACTCGCTGAGATACACCCCGCAAAAAGTAAATCTCCAGAAACCACTGCGGCACAAGTTTGGAAAATGACCAGAAGACTATAAGTAACAGCTTAAGTGGTATTTATGGTATTTGGCTATGCAGAGTGAAGGACTGGTTATGCAACTCTACACAGATGTGCTTCTGTGTAGTCAGATTTAAAAAAAAAAAAAAAAAAAAGCACACAGCCCAATGGGGATGACCCTCCACAAAGGATAAATCTGCTTGGTTAAGAAGTTCTTCTGAACATGTGAGGAAAGTTCAACTGATACAGGGAGAAGTGCCAAACAAATTAAGAAAAACAAAAAAATATTATCACAATACTTAACGCACGATACGATATTATTGCAATTTTTTTAAATATTTTGCGATATTCAGATTCTGTACATAAAGGTAAACTTTATCAATATACATTTTATCTAATATCAAAGTCTCACACTCAGTCTCTCATTTCAGTCAGTTTTACTGTTGACAAACTGAACGGTTTGTATTACAGTCTAGTCCAACTCTGAAGTCAGAGCATGTTCCATTCCACAAAAACTTTTTTTGTAACAAAATATTGATTTCTGCTGTCCCTGTATCGATACATTATTAGCAAACAAAATATCACGATACTACACAGTATCGATTTTTCCCCCCCACCCCTAATGAAAAGTAGAGGTAGTGACTGCAGTGGACAGTTTTCATCTTTTTTAACATTCTCTTTTACTTTACTACAATCCTGTTCTTTGTATAATAAAGCTGTGTTCCATCTGAAGGGAAGTCTGAAATCCTGAGTTCCCTGTCGTACTTTTCAGCTGGAACGCCCCCTCAAATCGGACTTCCTACTTGTAAAGTTGGAGCGGTTCCACCAACCCCAACTTTAGTATCAACGTTGGCAAAAATGAAAGCAATAGTAAAGTAGTAGAAAAGCAGTAAAACTATAGAACTTGTAATGTGTACTAGCGCTGTTGTGCATTTGTGGCTTACAAAATAAGCCACACACTGAATACCAACCAGACTTTATTTGTAAATGAGCAACGGTGATGTTCTGAAGTGCAAAAAACCAAAACTAAACAGAAATTTGCTGTACACCAAGTACTGCTAATGAGTGCTCTACCATACGCTATCGAGCAAAACAAATGCTCTTTTCTGACTTGACTCTGATTTTCTGAGATGAGAGCTAAGCTAAACTACCAATAACCACATGAACATGAAGACAACTATCCCACAGACCAGCTGTCTGTGACACTGCCCCGTGGTAAAAGTATAGACAGCTGCAACAAGTAGAAAACTGTCTGCAAACCTATGCCCAGAATTTGCACAGAACAATCTCACAATCATGCCAGTGTCTTTAGTTATCTTTGGAACTTGCATGTTAACAAGGCATAAGGTTTCCAACTGTGGTTAACTGCATTGTACTGTAGGTTCATCAGCATCGCTCTCCATTTCATCCTTCTTCCACCAAAACCTCAAGTATCTGCAGATTATTATGAATAAAGCTTTAAACTCTCAAAGCTGTATTCAAGACAGTCCTTTCCCCTACATCTATATTTTTAAGGTTTCATAAAAGGCTGAAGAAGCACTCAGAAAAAATAAGGTGGATTATTATCTATTGAAGGAATATATTTATACCAGTTCCATCGATCCATCACGTCTGGTGGTCAAAACTAGTCATGACATGATGAGGGTGTGTATTTCCCAAAATAAACAAAGCTCCACATTTCTTAAAGTGACGCATTCTTGATTAACTGCAAACAGGTTATCTATGAGTCAGTTCATCATACTATAATACAATGTGATGCACGGAATTCACAGCGGACGTTTGAAACTAATGGACAATGGACTCATGTTAGGAGTCCTGCACAGAGAAACCCAGCAAAAATCTACTGTGTGTGCTATTTATAAAATGTGCCATTTCAGGTCGGTCACTCAGTGTCACGCAATGCCCTCTGAGCCACAATTTTAGAAGGAAGCAGCAGTGGCATTGCAGCGTGAGAAGTTTTCTACCTAATGCAAACTGCCGGGTGACCACACAATCAAAACACAGCCCAGTGCTCAGTTCATTTCAAGCCAGTAAATGTAACACAACCAGAGTCAAACAAACACCACACAAAAATGACTCATACACACAGACTCAGACACTAATAAGACAGTCATCAAACAGCCAGAGGTGCACACAAAATCATTTCGCCTCACACCACACGGACAGGCATAATCCCATGCCTAAACACACCTTTACTGCTCACAAAGACAGGACGATTAGAGGCTCAAGTGAAATGAAGCTGAGGTGTATCTCATGTCTGAACCCATCTGTTCCTGCTCACCAAGCAGTGTGACAGCTGTGGAGATGGCACCATGCATCATTTGCACAATACAAACACAACCACATCGGTGGCTGTGTTGACAGGGTGCACCAAGTTTTAAGCTGATCACTCCCATATCAGATACTGAACCAAACAGGCGTGAATGTAAAAGAGATGCAAATAAAGCAGACAGTTAGACTCTCTGACACACCTCTGTTTGCATGTCAGCCTCGGAGCTGAAATCATAAAATATCTGCAGGGCAGCAAAGTAACTACAAAACAAAATATGCTTTGTAGGGCCATGTGCACTGCAAACACTGTGATTCCTATTAGCCAGAATGCAAGCTCACTGGAAATAAATCATAGGAACAGAAGGAGTCTTTCCTACCCCCCTCACTTCTCCTTACACAGAAATAATTTGATTATTACATTACGGGCTCAAATAATCTGTTTAGACCATGATCCTACTTATCTGTCCTCAGGTTTATTTTAGCACAAAACAGCTGGAAGAGCTACTAAAAATGACTCATTGAACTCCCTGACTGGGTAACCTTACTCTTATAATAGAAAACAAAAGAGATAGTGGGATTAGGACATAAAAACAACAAATCAGAAAACAGTTGATCACAGAGTGGAAGTGAAACAAGCTATAGAGACTCATACTGACACTCTTGTCAAGGAAAACAAAAGGATGGCCTGTCTAATTCGAATATAAGTGGAATTCCCCGAGCCTTTAACGGCACATCCTTCCTTTAGATCTCAGCACTTACTGCTTCTGGTGCAGCCACATCCTGTGGCGACCATCAGTCTGCCTCACAAAGCAGGATTAGTAGGTTAACTATCTTAGAGGTTAAACCATGCTGAACCAAAACAAGTCAAACAAAAAACGTCTAATTGTATGAGTCACCAATTCTACAGAATAAGGAAACAGAGAAACAAAACCCATTGTAAATGTTACATATCATATTGTTATTTCTCATATCTGTATTTTTATTTAAATACAAACACTGGAGTGATAAACTGTGATTTGTGTCATATTGTAATATGGTTGTAATATGATTTTTTTATGTATTTAGAGATAAATAAAAAAGGCTTAAAATAAATTGCAGAAATAAAGAACTTCCTCAAATGTCTCACTGTGGGTATAAAAATAGACCGTCTCTTATCGCTGCAAAAAAAAAAAGCAAAAAAAAAAAAAAGCAGGAAGTTGTACTGATCAGGAACTATAATAAAACTGCAGCAGTGGTGCTACTTTGATGTACACCAGCCACCTAAACATCAGTGCCCCACACTAATAGCACCATCAACAGCAAAACTTTAATTTAGACATTTTTTTAGCTGAAAACCCACAAATAATAGAAACTAACTAAAATACAGGGAAGAAATAAAGATTACAGACTGAAAAAGATGCAGGTCAAAACTCAATACAGCGACTCTTTCTATAGCAATTCACATATTTTCTTGATTGCTGATCCAATTCTATACAACTGCATTATTTTCACCTGTAACGCATTTACTTCTGTTCTTGGTATTGAAAAGTAAGCGTTTTACTTTGCTGACTCTTACTTTTTGAAGCTGATTTTCCTCCCAGGGATCAATAGTGTCAATGTAATGTGTTTAACAAATAAAAGTTTACTAAATGCTTTAATTACCCAGCATTTTATTTGATAAAGGTAGATGTGAGTAGCTGCTTGTGTGAAGTCAAAGTGAAACAGTCTGGGCTGACACCAATATCTGATAACCATTTTGTAAGACTGGTTTACCAGAGCTGCCAAAGTCCGATCTGAAAGCAGATAACAAAGTCTACCAAAGTTGAGACATAAACAAGACGAGTACAACTGAAACTAACAGTCAAATCACATGAAAATAAAAACAGCAACCGAATTTTAAACACAACTTTCTTAATCACAAGCAGCATTTACAAAAAAAAAGAAAAGAAAAGAAAAGAAAAGAAAAAGAAAGAAAGAAAGATAAAAAGTCTCATCTCAAAAGTCTCATAAACAAGCTATGAATATCCACCAAGGGGGGGCAAGGCTTCTGCAAGTAAGATCAAATCTGAGATGCAAACCCCCACTAACACTCTGAGTCAACTAACCGAGAAAAAAAAAAAAACAAACAAAAAAACAACAACACCCAATTAAAAAAAAACAAGAATTTCAGCAAAGGATCTTGAGAATTTGTGGGCAAGTCAGCTCATGACCAGGCTGACTTCTGAAGACCACAGACCTGCTGCTAAAATGCAGTCTAACACTGCTGCAGTGGTATTTCAGCACTGTATACTAAATTTCTCTAGATGATATATATGATAAAAACAAGGCATTTTTGGCTTAAAACATAAAAGATAGTGGTTATTCAGGCATACTGAAATGAAGGGTGATAGGACACAGCTGATGTCGACAGTTGTTACCTGGTAAAGCTGGTGGGGTAGGAGGGGGAACTTGAGAACCCCTCACCAGCCCTCTGGACTAATGAGTTGTTACCAATACCCTGGCCTCGGTTCCAGATCCCACCGATGGTCGTTACTGGGAGAAACAGGCTGGAAACTGGCTTCTGCTCATTCTGCAGCGGAGTATCACTGCTCAGTGTGTTCACACCAAAGTGGTAGGTCTGTCCTCCTGAAGTGCTGACCCCACAGACTGAGATGGCGTTAGTCCCAGCCATGTCTCCAGAAGCCGTGCCGCTAATTTGGCAATAACTCTGTCCTCCAGAGGTCTTCTCCTGTTTAACCACACCTGGGGTGCAGAGCTGGATGAAGTCTGCATCTTTTTCTTTTTTCACCATTGCAGACAAAGTGGTTGTAGGGGATAGTGAAGTAGTTGTGGATATGGTAGGGCTGGATAGATCTGGACTGGTCACACTGCTGCCATTAAGGGCAACAGGCACTGCCCCAGTCGTGTTACTGCTGTCAACTACAGCAGGTTTTATGTCCCTCTCGGATGTCACTCCAAGCAAAGAATCATCTGCAAGCGAAGACAAAAAAGCATCATCCCCTACATAAAAATCTGAAGGGGACCCAGAGAGGTCAAAGTCCTGCAGCAGATCCAGAGTGTTGTCACTGAACAACTTTTGGTTCACATCCATATCTTTCCCAATGGGCTCAAAGGCATTATCAAGGTCAATTGGGTCCTGCTCTCCTTTATCCAAGGAGAAATCCTCCGTTTTCAAAGGGAAGAAGTTGGGATCTGATCCCCCAATTAGCGAATCCATGGAGGACTGGGTGATGTCTGCCATACTGGCATCCAACTGGGACAAATTTTCTGATAAGGTTTGATGACCAAAAGTCGTCTGCGTCTGAAGTAACTGCTGGTGCTGGGGTCTCTGATCTTTGGTCAATCCCCGGGGCTGCGGACTGTCGATCAACGAGCCTACGGTGGCAGTGACAGAGGCAGAGGTGAGCTCCTCAGGAAGGGTGCTGTTGTTGAGGCCGTTGGGTACCTGTCCTGGCTGCATCAAAGAGCTGGATGGAAGAACGACAGAGGCGGGAGAGGTGACAGACATGGCACTGTGAGGAGCTACTCTCAACAGACCTCCCTCCTCGGGGCTTTCAGTATAGACCAGTTTGCTTAAATGGTCATCTCTTCTGTATGCTATCTTCTTCACTCCACCTTTATCCATCTTTAGAGGGGAGAGGAGACAGACAGCGATAAGATACAGAGTGCAAACACAGATAAATGTGCAGAAATGCTACGGAGTTCGATAATAACACATGCACAGAGCAGGTAACTCCAGTTATGTACAAGACCAGAGGAAAGTTGCCTGATCGCGCCTGATACTCAACGAACTGCAACCGCTAACTGCGCTAGCTATTAGCACAATATTGACATGAATGCACACATCTCGACCTCTTATCCACTGCAATTAAAGCAAACACACACATCGCGAATTAGACTACACACTGTATGCAGAGACTGGTAAAGTTAAGACAAGTTTAAGATTTCCCAGCGGTAGCTTCTTGCTAACTGTTGACATGCTAGGTAGCAATAGGCTAATGTCGTTGACACTAATATTAGCCTTCAAGCTAACGCAGTCCTTAAAACGGCTGCTTTAGCATTAACTGAACCAACTAAATGTGAATAATGTATCGTATTTACCCTTGAAATGAGTGGTTGCAGATATCTGTCCACAGGTCGCCTGTCAACATTGTTTTGGTTGATACACCCTGATTGAGTCTGCTAACATTACTCCTGTCGCGGCGTATCGTCTCTACATTCCGACATCAAATGATACAACACACCCAGCCTCGGCGTTTTTTCAGCCGCCCAAATCAATCTAGCTGTAGATTTGCATGCAAAAGGTGAGATTGGTAACTACACTGATTGCCAGCTATCCCTTAGGAAAGTAGGCGCTAACCTCTAAGAAAAACATACAAAATGGAGAACTGAAAGAGGCGGTTCCATGGCTGACCTGCTTTACTACATGCAGCCCTGCCCGCTGCTGGCCGCACCGGGGAACTGCAGCTGAAGTTCAGATTTAAACTTCCAGAAAAAAAAACTATAAAACTGAGTCGATCAAATATAAGAAAATGGGTGCAGAACGACAGGTTTGGGTTTTTTTTTTGTTTGCTTGTTTTATTTACTGAATCAGAATTAGTGCCACAGTTACAGCAAAGTTCTGCTTTCTTGTACAGTTAATTATGTTTTGCGTGTGTTTGTGTGGGTGGGTGGTTTTTGGTGGAGGGTGGTATTCGTGGTTGCAAGAACATTTCCTCTCAGTTTTAAAGATTTAAAGAGTGTTTACTGGTGTGTAAACTCAGCTATGATGAAACACTGTGTTTATTAGTGTACTCCTGCAATAGCTGTTCACTTTTTTGTTTTTTAAATTGAACCCATGTTTTATTTGTCCAAATGATTGAACCTGATCCAATATAAGTTACACCTAACGTCAGATTGTTATAAATATTCTAGAATGCTTGGACTTAGTAGTTAAATAAACGAATAACTCATATCTAAAGATGCAATTTCCTGGTTTAATTTGTTTACCGCCCTCTAGGGGCTAAAAAAGGGAACTGTGCGTGTTAGTTTTTATTAGGTAGGTTAATAGTTAAGCTGTTATTAATGGGCGTCATCAATCAAAATATTCATGTTGAAATTTATTATGAAGCAAGAAAAAGATAGTTACCAAAAAACTAAAAGACAGTTGCTGCACTGCTTATGCAAAAAGCTGCAAAACATATATTGGCCCTAAAAAAAAAAAAGCCGGTTCACACTTCTGCCTTTTTATGTGGAAATACAAGTGGATGAAAAGTGGGCGGGAGAAGAGGAAATCGTGTGAGGCAGGTTGTTTGTGCATGGGGACAATAATTCTGCAGAGAGGATCAGTCCTATATTATTTTCCCCTCTAAAGGCTGCACAAGAGTGCATAAATTCAATCCCTGTCAGTAAATTTGCACAGTAAAAGAGCAGCGTTTAACGAGTGAACGGGGACATCCATCACCGAGCATACGTGTGTATTCAGATTTACAAACGAGTCTTAAATAATTTAAAAGAGATATTTTGTGCATGCAGTGCGAGCTGACCTGCTTCAAAAAAATCTTTTGCCCAATCAGCCCACACCACAGATTACAATGCACGAGCTTCCAAAGCCCACAGCTGAGAATTTAATGTTACAGCTCATACAGATTTCTACTTCACGCTCAGCTGAGAGACATATTGTCTTACATTATTCATGCTGAAGTTGCATGAAATTCAATCCCTTTCAAAAGATAGAATCTAACCTGGGAGCTCTGCACGAACAGGAAATAAAGTGAAGACAGGAGGCAGGGAAATTGGCTTTAATGGGAGGATGAGTGAGATGAATAAGAAATAGGATCTATAGCACACACAGGAGGAGAGTCATCCCCAAGTACATTTTAGGGAATTAACTCCAAGTCGTTCTGTTATACAAGTCAAACATCGCCCTATCTGCACATGTGCAACTGCAAACAACCTGCCTTATACAGTAAACTACACCTTATGATGCTATTTCTTATCTATAGTGGTGTGCGCTTCAGTGTTGAGGGCGCACAAGCCTCAAAACATCAGGATATAATTTCAAATGTAAGCAGCAAAGCCCTCACATGACAGAAAAGGAGATCAGTATGCTCACTGTAGCTCTAAATCCCCACTGTTTGAATCCCACTCAGTCCCCTGCGGCTGCTTAGCAACCCCTCTCCAGCACAATATACTCCGAATTAACAGGGTAAAGCGTGACCGCTGCCTCCTCACAACCACGAGTCAAGGGTGCTCTCCCATCACCAACGCCTTCTCTCAGCACTGCAGCAATAAAAGCCGCGGCTTTATTACATCGTGGATCCAAAACCAAAACAACATGAAAAGCAAACACGAGACACAAAACAGTGTGAAACGTGGCTGGGGGCTCCGTGTGATGTGGGCAGCAAGATTTATGGGATATTTCACGCACAGCGCAAACAGGCAAGTACGTTTCAACTTGGTATCACAGATTCGGGTGATTGTGAACCCTTGAATGGCCCTCTCTCCCCATTTAAATAATTTCTCCTACACACATCTTATATTATGCACAATATATACAACAGGAGCTTGTGACCTACATAGAAATGCACATGCAGATGATGACATGCGCTGTCAATCCTTCACCTCTGCTTTGCACCTCACATTATCCAAACTCGATTTTCCACCCCAAGAAAACTTGGCTTCAGCGCAGTGTACTCTGATGACTCTACGGCAAATTCACTGAGCAGGCCTTAAGCACTATCACACGTCCCCAAAACCTCAGCCCCCCTCTGCTGCTATATAATCCAGAATAAAATGACTCAGTAATGAGGGTTCCAACTCTATAAACCGCAGGGAGAGCGCACTAAACGGAGACTTCGTTATGATATACATGTTCAATTACCATTATAACACGTGCAGAAAAAAGTAAAAGTGTTCATTAATGCATTTCTTAATTTTTTTTTTAATTAGTTCCTTTAGTAAAGAGATCAGTTTCACCGTGATGTCTGACCCTGGTGCTCAAAGGTTCAGTCAGAGTGCCGCTCAGATTCTAATTATTGCTCACTCAGCTCGAATTTTCAAGCGTAACACCGGACAGGGGTGTAGTTAAGAGTGTAGATCACGCGCAGCTGTCACACACGACGAGCTTTCAAGTGACACAGCGACACCTTACCCTACCATCCATCTCACGGGATAAGCACGTCAGCTAAAAGTGTTAAATGTAAATTAGGACTGGACGGAGGGGGGTCGCTCCAGCAGAAGACACGAAAGAGGGGATTAATCTGTGATGTTAAAATTGCGTCACACCCCATCGCCAGCTGCACGTCGCCCGTGGCCGGATCAGAATTTCATGAAAAATTGCACAGATCCCCCCCCCTCTCTCTCTCTCCAATCATCCCGCTTTGCGTCCATCAGCTGAAAATGTCATTTTCCTTTAAGATGATGTAAGACATTACTACACGGGACGATTTTTTCCCATTCTCTCTCTCTCTTGCACAGCTTGGAGCAACGTTATCTTGAGCCTGCCGTCGGTCCAAACATTTCCGCACTCAGCAGTTTGGAGAGATGGATGCGCGCAGGAATCCCATCCTCCTCATCTGTGCGAGAAACCTCCTCGCGCGTTTCAGTATCTCAGGAGCCGGGAGCGTGGCAGCAGAGCGATGAGGTGCATGCACATTTGTTTTTTTTAATTCTTTATTTGAGTTTATCTGGCTGAACTGAGGGACAAACGCAAACCAGTGACGCTCTCCACTGAAACTTGAGCGGAGATGTATTTACTTTTTTGTGTTGTGAAATTTCTGAGTGAAGTGAGTATATTACATTTATCTGGAATCAAACTAGCAAATCAACGGGGTGGATGCGTGTAATTCGACGCTGGTTAGGATAATCGATTCCATTCAAAAGAAAAGGATGCATCGTGGTGGGTAGGCACGTTTACGCACGGGGTTAAAGGATGTACTGTAGACACACCTTGGGATTGTTCTGTCATGAGATACTGGATGCGAGTGCTGCAGCTTGCATCGAGACTGTGTGTTAGCTCTGAGCGCATCGGCACCCTATGCAGCTACACCCTACACCCTGAACTTCTGGGACGTTTGCGCTCCGTGATCGAGACTCGGATTTCTTACAGGATCGGACAAAATGGCACTGAGCGAAAACTGCAAAACGCAACCCACAAAGGAGCAAGGCTCGGTGCAAAACCCTCCATCGGATGTGATTGAGCTAAACGTGGGTGGGCAGGTGTATTACACTCGTTATGGTACACTGGCAAGTTTTCCAAATTCTCTACTTGGGAAGCTGTTCTCTAACAAGAAGGGGTCCTCGAATGACTTGTCCCGGGACCTCAGAGGACGCTATTTTATAGACAGAGATGGGTTTCTGTTTCGGTATATCCTGGATTACCTTAGAGACAAGCAAGTCGTCCTCCCTGATCACTTTCCTGAAAGAGGAAGGTTGAAAAGGGAGGCGGAATACTTTCAGCTGCCAGATTTAGTCAAACTTTTGTCATCCGAGGACTCAAAACTATTCGCAGACGACTTGTACTACAGCGATTTGGATGATGCGTCGCAGGGCAGCGACCAGAGGTATTATCCCTCTTACTCCTTTGACAGGAGGTACGGCTACATCACGGTCGCCCTCAAAGGCGTTTGCGCAGCGGGAGGCAGAGAAAATCAAAGTGATGCCAAGGCCAGAAAGTTACCGAGAATCTTCATTAGTAGCAGAATTGGCTTGGCGAAAGAAGTGTTTGGAGACGCCCTGAAAGAGAACAGGGACACGGACAGACCTCCGGACCGATACACCTGCAGATTTTACCTCAAGTTCAGACACCTGGAGAGGGCGTTTGACATGCTGTCAGAGAGCGGCTTTCATATTGTGGCCTGCAATTCGTCCCTGACCACGTCCCCGATCGCTCATTACCCGGATGACAGGGTCTGGTCCAATTACGCACAGTACATCTTCTACCGTGAGTGAAGATTTATTCCCACTCTGTTCTCTTAGAAGTGCTAACAAGCTGAGCTGGAGGCTTTCTGACCTTCAGGAGTAATCATAAGGCAACCATCACCAAAGTAAAACACAAACAACCCCAAATACGAATTAAAAATAAAGAAAACAAACGATTAAACAGGAACTAATGCCCTCCCCTCTCGCCCCCTCTAATAAATCCACATCCACATGTAATGCCTATCAGGAAGGGGGTTTTTTCACATGAAAAGACCATCCTGCTAGTTTGCCACACGACAGTCAGTGTGATTTGAAGATTTACAAGGGTTGCTCACACCGCCAGGAGGCACGGTCGGATTGCAGCATTATCCTTTTAAATATTTGCATCCCTTACAGTGACTGACTTAAAACATGTGTTCTGGGTCCGAGATAAGAGGCAAACCTGCCTACGGCCCTCGGAGGAGTTGAGTCACAATGCTGCTACACTTAAAGTACACATGCGTCATGCGTAAACATGTCTTATTGCTCACATTTTTGCCAGCCGCTGGGCGATGAATAATATAGCACCAGCGGGCGGGGGGGGGGAATCACATGGATGCTGCTACTGCCGCTTGTCTTGAATCAGCTTGTCTTTTCTTTTTTCTTTTTTTATTTGGAGACAAAGTTTGTTCATCAGCAAATAACCTAATTAGCTGCAAATATGACTTGTCCCGTTGCGGAGGGAGGAGTTGGAGCATATGGCCAATTAAAAAGCACTTTGTTCATTATTCTGAACGGCTCCCCTTAGAAGAGCTGAATTAAATCCAGTTGGTGGGTCAGAGTTGGAGGTGCAAGGTGGACTGAGGAAGACATGACATATGGTTTGGTAATGATTTAACAATAGCTTTGTTAATACGAGGTAATTATCACAGAGGGCTCTGCCTTGACCTGAGAAAACATCCAACCAGGCAGCTAGCAGGGTTTTCCTGAGTCATTCAACATTCTGGAGCACAACAACATATGGTGTAGGTGTTCACCTCATTCCCCATTAAGAAACACTGTTCTGGGTCATGGGACAGCAGGAGGTGGAGAGAAGGTGGGAAGAGACAGAGGAGAAAATAAGAGCGAAGAGCAAAAACGGGAAAAGAGAGGCACAATGTAAGAAGCCAAGCTGAAGTGAAGGGAAGAAAGGGGAGGCTGGCAGATGGAGGAGAGAGCTGCCGAGCGGGAGGGATGAGGGAGTAAAAGTTGCATGAGACCTGGCCATGGGGAGAAAGAACTGAGGCAGAAAGAAGAGAGAGGCAGTGGGAGCAAAAATAGATTAAAGTAAGGATCAGACAGGGAAGTTCATTGAGGCCGTGGGAGCGGGGAAGGGGGGGAAAAAAGAAAAAAACGGGGTGGTAAAACATGGAAGCAGAGGGAGAGACAGGCTGGGTTTTCATTAGAAGACAGTGGATGAGGGGATAGCACAGCGATAGATAGATAGATAGATAGATAGATAGATAGATAGATAGATAGATAGATAGATAGATAGATAGATAGATAGATAGATAGATAGATAGATAGAT